GCAGGCACTTTCTCCTCTCTTCTTTCTCTGCCGCAGCATAATCCTGACTATCTCGCGTTGATGCTAATAGCTATAAATTTTACAAGCACGACAAAATCACTCTCTAATCAAATTTGGAAAGTTAGGGCGGTCGAGAGGATCAACTATTGGGTAGGATTAGAAGAGGACGTGGGTTATGTACGTTATGAGATGGGCGATCTGACGGGCTAGTAGTGAGTGTGCGAGACTGCAGTGTGGCCACGACGGATTGTGGAAAATGGGCAAATCCGACATGCGTACTTGCACTAAGCGGGGTGACAACTCTAGGTTGCTCGTAGGTGCGAGGCAACAAACCGCCTGCACGTGAGAGAGAGAGAGAGAGAGAGAGAGAGAGAGAGAGAGAGAGAGAGAGAGAGAGAGAGAGAGAGAGAGAGAGAGTCTTGATTGCTGGGGTATATGATACTTCTTCTCCTATCCCTCTTACGAGTTTTGCATTCGGAACGGCGAGTTTCGTCATTCCCATTTTGTAATCACAAATGGACGTCTGACTGTATAAGTCCTGTTCTTTCTTTGGAATACCCCCTTACATTCTCTCCTTATGGAATTTATGCTTGATATGGTGATTGTGACTTCGATTGCTCTTTCTGTAACTGTGATCACTTGTACTTTTGCACCCACTTCCTGATTATGATTTGAGGGGATAAATGCGCTGAGATAATAATGAAGGATCGTTGGTTGTTTCTGTTGGAGGTCTGATGAAGGGAACTCATGCGAACTCATGCATACGCTACGACACACAGACGATGCRGCCCGTGGTATATACATGCACTCGCATGGTGATCGCGGTTCTGATTGGTTTATTTTATGATTGTTTGTGGGCACTCGAGTCCTGGCTATGATTGATGATTGTGTGAGGTCGACTTGTTGAAATAAAAGAGGAGGGATATCGACCCTGTTTGCTCAATGTCCGATGAAGGGATCCTTTACGAGTTCATGCATGCGCTACAAATCGCCGACCACATGGCCCGTAGCGTATACACGTGCTCACATAATTCTCCACAGTGTGACCACAATCTCCAATCTGCACGAGTAGGAAGGCCCGACGGGCTGGCGTGAGTGCGAGCCCGTAACCTTGGAATTTGAACGACTATTCCCGACCATAGTTGCATGCACCAACTCCCGAGGTCGTGCCAGGAATGACCACCACCCGTCCCGAAAACTCGGAACGCCCCTTTCTCGCCCAGACCACTTGCATCCTTGTCCTTGGAACCTTG